TTCTTTCTCGAACCTCATAAAAGTCTCCTTCATCCAGGAATCGTGAGTGAATTTATCATGACTTAGTTTAAAATATTACAATTTGAATACTGAGGAAAAATAGTGGTACAATGGAATTGAACAATATGCGTTTGAAATAAGTTCGTATCAATGAAAGCATCTGCCGAAGAAGGAAAGTTTTTTTTTTCGATAAATGATTTGTTAGGTTTTCAATTACAAGAAAGTTAATTTTTACAATTAAGTCACTGTTGTAACGTCTACATTTTAATAGACCTTTATTAGCTAAAACTGTCTTCGAAAATTGAGAGAAAGTTCTTGAGACTCTGCCAGAATGGCATGGTTTGGTGAAAATACCATGGCTCTCATGGTGGGTACCTAATTCCATTCAAGTAAGAGAGGAAGAGATCGAATGTATCTTTACTATGATGCTAAATGACAAAGGGTAATAAACGTACATTAACCAGCAGCTGAGTTTAAGGAAATGTTCCATGTGGATATCAGCTATTATGGAAGAGAGGGGAGATTCCATTGGGGCACCTTTGATTTGACAATAAAAATTATTTTAGAATGAAAATTATGTACTAATAGGAATGCTGGTAAATAAAGAAACAATGTCAAAAATAACTAGTATATCTGAGGGTGAAATAGAAATATCTTTTAGAAGTTCAATGTAATGGAAATAATTTTTGACAAAGAACAAGGCGTTTTCGGCTAATGGTTGTAAGAATAAAGCGAGATATTTTGCCAATTTTATAAGTGGGGCAGTTGTATACACTAACGATGGATCTTTGGGTGATATTGAGCTTATGAATTTTTGGCAAGCCGTATATTCTTGGAATCTGAAATATTTTTCTCTGGGTATAAGAGATTTTTTGACGTCTGAAGGTAGAGTACACTTATTTATAATGGATTTGTTCGTTTTTTCTATATAGGTGGAAGGATTGAAGTTTGAACAGTTTGTCGAAATAATTAAAAGAGTTAAGAATGACGATGGCATTACCTTTATCGGCCAGAAGGTTGATAATGTCTGGTAATGATAACTGATATTTGATGATAGCGTTTTCGAAGTACGTAGAATTATGGCGATTTCGGCTTGGGTGAAAGGAAGATAAGAAATAGCTTTTTCAGTTTAACAAAGAATTTTCTCAGTTGGGACGGAAAGAGTAGTGGCAGAAAAATTAAAGCCTTTTGGCAGAGCTTTGATAGCTGAATCAAATATTTAAATATCTGATCAATTGCGTATAACAGTCGAAGGTTATTGATTTCAAATCGACTTTGGATTTTGCTGACAGATAAGTTGGTTAAGTTTGCGTTCTGGGTTTAGGTTTTCTTGTCAGAAATGTAAAAAGCTTTTTGGTGAGACAGATGATTGAGGTTGTCTGATAATAATGGATGGATATTATTATAGTTAGATGTCATTGTAGGTTTTGAAAAGTTGGGAGTTTGTTGTATCTAGTTGCGTCGTGAGGAATGAATTGAATTGCAAAAAGCGAAAAACTAGTTGCTCTAGAATTTTGAAAATGGATAAAGATTAGTGTGATGTTTAATTTAAAGAGATTTTGGAATAAGTATATACATATATTTACTCATTTGTTCTTCATACCCAGATTAATAAACGATGTAATTCTAGGTAAATAAAAACCATACAAAATTACAATGAAAATTAAAAAACCACAATAAAAGCTTAGTTGAAAAAAATATTAGGTAAAATAATTCTATTGTAATGAAAATCATTAAAATAATTTTAAAACACCTTTCAAAATGAGCCACCAATAGCTTTTATATTCTATTATGCATTGAAATAAATCACATCGATAAATTATTTAAAATAAATCCTAAACAGGCATACATAAAATCTGCAAATTTCAATGGGGTATTTAAAATTTGAGTAAAATATTCGTGTGTCATTTAATGGATTTTATGTGTTTTGTTACGAAAATTAATGTGATAGCTTTTGCTTTCTAAATATCGACCTTTTATAATAGTAACCTATATATAGAACGGATTTTCAATATGTATTGCAGAACTCTGTCAAATGAATGAATTAATCGAATACTGATCAATCAAAGATGTATTTTATTATAATAAAACAAAACCCAGATATGACAAACCCGAAACTCCAGATCTAAGAAATAACACGGAAAGCCAACCAAAAGAGAATTTAATAACACAAAGAGGGACAAACTAGCGGCTATTAAATACTGACTTTCAACTTTTCTTAAACATGACTTATACCTACTGTACAAAAAGTACTTTAGGTATAAGTACGGTAGGTATAAGGTAGGTATAAGGTAGGTATATATACTAACTATCCTCCTACTGCAAAAATTTTGGTAGTACTTCCTTCTACCATTCGAACAGTTATGCATCAGCGCTTCACATTCTTTTCCGAGTAAGACCCAAGCAATTTTATTTAGTTGTATCGATAATTCTAAACTGCAGGATTATCTCATTATTTTTTGCACAATCATCAACCCAAAAAATATTATTTTTATCTAGATTATCTTATAATAGAATCTGCATGTATTTGGCAAACAAAACCGTAGTAGATAACTTCATGGCACAACATGGCTCTATAGAAGTACTCGGCGAAGTTATAACAGCACGAAGACTTGTCTCTCCAGCAGAAAGACTAGTCTTGTCGAAAGTCTGCCCGTCAATTTCTCATCAAGTATTAGTTGAAGAATTACAGAATATCAGTTTAAAGCTTATTTCCCCAATAACATTTCTAAAAATTAGCCCGACTCTCCCCGAATATAGTCATATTAAGCCATATTAAGCTTTCGGAGGCAAGTTTATATAAGCCCTATAACATCACCAATTTCAGATTCTATTCTAATAAATTTTGACCAAACACCCTAACGTATATTTTTGTCACAAACTACACTCTCCTGCTTTATTTGCAAAAATACAGGACACATATCATCTAAATGCAATAACAGTTCAGTAACGGAATCAACTTATATTAGTCAAACAACGAAGCATCAAATCAAACAGTTTTAACAAGTATACTACACAAGGTACCAAACACCGAGCAGTCATCAAGTCATCCATTATCCAATTCGAGCATATTACCTACACCTACAAATCTCCATGACAAAGAAATTACTAATACTCCTACTTATAGCAACACTTTCAATCAACCTTATTCAACAGCAATACCGTTTTCACAAATTTTAGAAGCAATATTCTCCAATCTATCAGCTCCTTTTCCATTAGATACAACTGCAGAAAATTCTAATAAAACTAATAAATCAGCACAATTTTCTGAAAGAACCATTTCAACCAATCTTAAAAATAAAACTTCAAGCTCGACTTCTGTCACTACCAATGAGTTTGCTCCAATACTTCGAAATGTAATAAAGCCACAGCATCTAAGTGAAAACTCTAATAGAAATTGCGAAAACGCAAGTTCTTCCATAAAACGCAGTATTGGTAAGATCGACCCGCCTTCTTTAAACTCAGCAATTTCATCAGAAAATCTGTTTGCAAAACCCAAACCCTCATAATCAAAAAAACCGCGCTCATCTAAACTCCCCACCATTCTTTTTAAATTACCACCAATTGTCCTTACTGATTCATAATGTCCAAGGCTACCCGACACTATTAGCGTCGTTAAAGAATTTACAACTGATATGGCTGGTTTACTGCATCGTTTACAAAGCAGCTATCAATACGCAAATGATAGATCTACAAAAAGCAAATTTACAAAACTTCAAAAAAAACTACACAACAGCTAAACAACTACTTGAATGGAACATTGATGGATTTTTCCATCGTCTCCCTATGCTACAGCTTCTTTTATCTGAATATTCTACAGACATTATTTGTCTATGTGAGACAAACTTAAAGACCAATCAGTTGTACAATTAAAAAACTAAAATTTTCATAGAAAACATTCTTCTTTTCCGTTCACCCCTAGCATGTAGCACATATTCAGCTGAACTCTACGCCATATACCGTGCTGTGAAACTTCTTAACGAGCTTACACTCACAAAAGCCCTGATTATAACAGATTCCCTTAGATCTCTAAACTTATTAAAACACAGTTTTCCAAAACATCCTTTTGAAAAGCTGCTAAAATACCAGCTTTCTCAAGCTCATGAACATGGAAGAAGCGTCCAATTTTTATGGGTTCCCTCACACGTCGGAATAACAGGAAATGGAGAAGTTGACAGAACTGCACGAAAGGCAATTTTAAGTGATTTGTCTGAGCCGATAGACAAGTGTGTTTCCAGTGACTTAAAAAGCTTATTTTAAAATAAAGTGTGGTGTTTGTGGTGAAATAAGTGGTCTCAAACTAATTCCAATCTAAATAAAATCAAAAATAATGTGTCTCAGTGGTTTCCATCGTCGCGCAATAGACGAAAACAAATTGCGGTTGAGTGTTTACGTCTAGGACACATCAGACTAATGCACTACCTACCTGTTCACAAAGAAAAATCCACCTATATGTGATCAGTGTAACGTCCGATTAACAGTTGAACACTTTTTAACAATTTGTAGTAAATATGACAAAGAAAGACAAGATCCCAAACGCTCTACCACAGGCTCTAGGTCAAAACTGTTCCTGTGACAATATAGTGAATTATCTCAGATCCATAAACATTTTGTACAATCTGTAGGTGTTAACCAGAACACGATTAGTATTCTGTGTTTAACTGTGTTATTTATATTTTGTTCCGTCGCTAATAACTTTTTGGTGGATGCGACATCTTTTTCTAATAAAAAAAAAATTAAAAAGAACCTGTTTTAATAAATCCTTTAATTTCAGAAACTGAGTTGGGTTATTATTCAATAAAAGGAGCCATATTATATGTATGTAGTATGTTTAATTACAGTAAATGGTCATGGTTTGCCAATGTCAGTAGACCAGTTTTAGTTCAACTATGCCTTTTAGTATCAAACATTTATATTAGTTACAAATTATTTATGTTAGATTGTAAAATTTCTATAGTTTAATACTTACTAGTGAACAACCCTACTTATTACACCTGTATGAAAATTTTTATTGCAAAAAATGTTATATTTAATAATGTAAAATATTATTTAATTTTTGTTTGAAATAATTAAAAGTCTAATGAGTATGAAGATATTTTCTTATTGATTTTAAAAACATTTTACATATACTCTAAACATTTTTATCTCTCTATTTTATTATTCAAATTTACATATGAATAACCTTAAATGAACATTTAAATACATTAAAAGCAGTTTCCTCTGGTGTGCTTTCTTTTTTCGTACACCCCATAATTACATCTGTTGACATTTGATCACCAAAATTTTTCTTCATTGCTTCGGAAATAGCAGCGATGTTTGGATTACCTTCTGCGTCAAGAAAACCAATCTTCTGACCGAAGCATAAAACGAATTTTTTAAACTTGTCGTCTGTGGGGAAATTTCCCGCCAAGGCTTGGGCTACTGCTTGATCATCTATTCCTGTGGCAGCATTGCACTCTTTTTGTATATCCATTATTTTAGCTCTCATTTCTTCAGAAAGGCACTAAAATAAAACATTAGTGGTATATTTATTATTTATAAATAATGTAACACTACTCCATCATTTTTTTATCATTTTTTCTTTATCCTAATTGTATAAGGTGGACCTTTTTAACATTCTTTTAACAATGCATTTCTGCTTACGACTGATAACAAGAGCACCGATTTATAGGCATCCAAACATTGAAGGAAAAGGTGCCTATATAGGTAAATATTTTTATAAAAGAGGCAGAAATCTTAAAATATGGGCAACATATAGTCAATATAGGCAAATAACTTTGATTATTTATTATCCGAATGAATAAACTGAATAATAATTTATCACAAATATATTTATACAACATAAAACTAGTAACACAATCAATTAATAACTAAATAATTAATTGATGGATTCGACCGTTACTTGATGGAAATTTATTTTATGTAACAATAAAACACTGGAAACTTTGTTTTCAAACTTCCACAAAATTTATTTTAAACTGTTATCACTACAACTGTTTCGGCTGATTGCCTTTCTCAAGTGATCTATTTTTGGTATGCGTTTACACTTTATAGTCTCTAGTGAAGGATTTTAAATTCGTCATTAAAAGAATGACTATGATCTAGAAGGTGAAGTGCGTATGTAGAATCGGTTTTTCTATTATTGAAAGCCCTTTTATGTTCTGCTATTCCGTTATTAAAGTTTCCAATTATATGTTTCACTGACAACTGGTGTTGCACTTGGTACACATCGGAGCAGCCTCCTGGTTGAAGATATGCTTGTGGATAAGAAAAGTATGTCCTATCCGGAGTCGGTTGATGATGACTTGATCTTTTCTATTATTTGGTAAGATGAGTTTGATTCTTACTTGCTTAAACATTCTTTGAGTTTGTTAGCAGTGTGATACCAAGTAGTTTGCCACGCTCTGTACATGTGGGCATTGATATTTACTTTGTGATCAGTCCAACGCATTTGATTTATGATAGAAATACTTTGGTCGGTGGTTGCATTGCTTGCCAGATAGTCCACTTCCTCATTACCACTTATTCCCATATGGGAAGGTAACCAGATAAGGAAAATATCTTTTTGTTGAGTCTGTAGATAAGATAACTCTTCTTTAATTTTGAGAAGTATGGCGTGAGTTGTATATAGCTGTTTTATTCCAAGTAATGCGCTCATTGAATCGGTGATGATAACAAATTTGCTTTCATTGATAGAACCACATTTTTTCATGGCCTGGTGAATTGCCGTAAGTTCTCCAGTATATATGCAACAATTTTTTGGGATTCGTATGGTAGACTTGATGTTTTTGTAGATGTAGGCTGCAGCATGTCCTTCATGACGTTTGGAAGCATCAGTGAAGATTTGAAGAGTTATTGGGTATTTGGATATTACATTTTTATAAGCTTGCTGAATAAGGAGGGGATGTGTGGAATTTTCGGGAGTTCTGTAACGACTGTATCTATTTTTGGAGGTTTGATCATCCAAGGAGGAACATTTACATGAATAGGCATAGTAAGACTGAACTGTTCTAAATTAAGACCAATACGTTTTACTCGTTCAGGAAATGGTAGTTTTTTTATTGCAATGTTTCTGTAAAGATCGGGCAATATATTTGTTGTACAAAGTATTGTTGAGTAGGTTATGTTGCTGTTGTTTGCTGAAATTCTGGCAACGTAATTTAGTGATAGGAGTTGCTTTCGTTGGCTTAAGGCAGTTCATTAACCAGAGCTTGTAAGCTACTTACTGGACTAGTTCTTGTGGCACCTAAAACTAATCTCAAGCACATATTTTGAATGTAGTCAAGTTTTTTAAGATGTTTTGTTTTAAGCAGTATCGTAGCATAAACAGCCATAGTCTAGTTTACTTCGTATTAGTGATCTATATAGAGTAAGTAAGGTTGTTGTATCTACCTCCAAGAGGTATTTGACAGCATTTTTAGTAGCATAACTCTGGATTGGCAAGAACGTTGCAGATTGGTGATGTGGGTTTCCCAGTTTAAGTTACGTTCAACAGATAGTCCTAAGAAATTTATTTCTTCTGGTTGTTTTAGGACAACTCCATTTAGTGTTAATTGAACATTAGGAAAAGTTTTTATTTTGCTAAAAATTAAATAACGTGTCTTTTCACTAGAGAATATGAAATTCGTGTTTTGCTACCAGCTTTCAATTGTGTGTAAGGTAGTTTGCAGTATACAGATTGAACGAAATAAATTCGGAACATAGGAATATAATGTATTTCGGCTCAATTCTGCTGTAGGTGGTTGGCCAACAAAATATTGTCAAATAATTATATTATAAAAATCCAATACTTCAGCGGGCTGCTGGATTCTGAACTCATAAAAATTGAAAGCTACACATAAATCTACGATTTATGCTGTCAAACCAGTTATAGTCCAGGAAATGAAGCATTTCACCTCGCAATTTTTTCGTGCTCCTGGATTGACTTGAAATTTAACAGAAGGTAGGTAATAGCCTAAGGATCAAAATTTATATCGAACCAAAGTGCGCCAAAGCCTAGGGGGTGGTTGCCACCCCATCTCCGGGGTGAAATTTTTTTTTACGTTTTAACTACAGGTTTCGATTAAAAAAGTGATTCTAAACAAAAAATGTGCTATACGTTTTTTTTATAAAATGATATTTTTCAAGTTATTCGCGATTGAAAGTAATAAGTTTTAGAACGAAAAAATCCATGTTTTTAATCGATTTTTCGCGAATAATTCGAAAATGGTGCATTTTATCAAAAAAATTGTAGAAAACAAATTTGTAGCTTTTAAAAAGACAAATACAATTCATTTTTTAAAATGTTTTTGTGATATAATAATAACCGAAATACGGCCTATCAATGTTCAGCGGTTTTCTTCAAATGCCAAATTTGAAAGATTCAAAATCAAATATCGGGAAAATGATGCATTTTTGGAAGAAAACTCACAAAACCTTTTTTAAAGAGCATAAATAGACCTATCATAAAAAAGACTCTAGCTCTAAAATTGAGTGAGTTATGATGAAATTAAGGTCAATACCTCATTTTTTACGAAAAAATCGATGAAAACAACCCCCTAACCACCCCCATAATTAAAATCGATCTACACCCTTCTGAAATTCCCTTTGTACATGTATTGTTAATACGTCCAAGAAGTTTCACCCATTTAAAATGCTTTGTGTTAGAAAAAGTACAGCTTAAAGCGAGAAACGATTTACAATTTCATATTTTTTACCCTTCTTTTTTTAAATATGCCAGAAAATACTGAATATATGAAAAAAATACAAATTACCAAATTGTAGCTTTTTTAATGGCTAAAATTATCCTTTATTTAGATTTGTTGTACAATGAATATTTGGCAAGATATAGCCGTTTAAAAACATCGATTTACGATCAAGCACCATCTTTTTCGAGTCCTTTAAACTCACCCCATTTAAAAACCAATGGTTCCAAAAAGATTTAATTCACACATCCTTGTAGCTCTTAAAAACCTCTACAAATCGTTTTTGAAGAAAACACTCTATCGTTAAAAATTAAAGGAAATACGTTAAAAAAACCAGTGAATTTTTTTCCGGAAAATTCTATTAGTATAGTACAGTACATTTCGTAGCACAATAATCTACAAAACCGGTATATTAGCTAGTGGGGCGTTATACATTCGAAATTTTAAGCGTTCTTATTTTGAAATCCCATACAACAGAATAAAACATCTGCTCATATGTCTATAGCTTGGCAATGAAAATATTAGAGCAACAGATTGGGGATGGTATTCCAAAGATGGTTTGTTATTACCCGTACGCATGAAGAAACAACCTGCACTCGATAAACTTTTGAAAATTATTTTTTGGCAATGCAAAAAAGGATGCGGTGTTTCATGTGAGTGCAGAAAAGTTGGTTTATACTGTAACTCTACTTGTTCTGGGTGCTCAGGTGAAGGGTGCAATAATAGTCCACCAATAATTGAAGATGAGGATGACATAGATCATGATGAAGATGTAATTGATGACGAATAAAATTAATATTATAATTGTTTTACCTATAAATGTAAATATTTTCAACTATTTATGTAAATGTATAAGAATATATGGTGCCTTTTTATGTTGATAAATTTTTTTGTATTTAATTCTACTTTTTTCAATTTATATCTTATAAATTAGTTTATAAAAACTGCAATGTTGTAAAGGGTGATTTTCAAAGAGTTGAAAAGTTGCAAAATTTTGGTAAAAAATTGTTTTCACCTATAGCACTCATAACAATTGATTTTTAAGGGTTGAAAATGTATGAATTTGTATTGTAAAGTATAAAAAAATCACTATTTAACTAATCCAAACCAAATTTCACTCATCTTAAGATTTATAATATTATTTTACAATTTTGAAAATTAGGGGTAGTAGGGGTAGATAAAAAATTAATATAAAAAAATTACTAATTTTTTATATTAATCTCTAATAAGGGTCGCTGTTTAAGGGTTGAAATATGATGGAACTTTATTCAAAAGCACGAAACTATCATTATTTAATTAATTCAAACCAAATTTTACCAATATTCAGGTTTAATATGTTATTTTATAATTTTTGACAATTACGGGTAGTTTTCACCCCTTAGAACAATCAGGGTTTGTCGACATGACATAAACTATAAAGCAGCGGGTGAATTGAGCTTAAATCCAAATTTTTATCCAAATCGATCCAAGGCGAAATCATTTTTTTAGAATTAGTAATTTTTTTACATTAATCTCTAACAAGGGTTGCTTTTTAAGGGTTGAAATATGATGGAACTCTATTCAAAAGTATAGAATAATCATTATTTAACTAATTCAAACCAAATCTTACCCATATTCAGGTTTAATATGTTATTTTATAATTTTTGACAATTAGGGGTAGTTTTCACCCCTAAAACCCTTCAGCGCACTTCGATTCGATATAGATTTTGATCCTTGGGCTATCACCTACCTTCTGTTAAAATTTCAACTGGATACATGCAGGACAAAAAAATTGCGAGGTTTTAACTATTTTCGAGCTTCATTTCCTGAACTATTATCGTTTCCTTAGACAAACCCGTCTTACGCAAACAACATTGTTGTGAGACAGATACTTGAACGATATTTTATACAATGTCTATGCCCAGGTATGGATTTATTTTTGTCCGAGTTTTATATTGGTCCACTATTTCAAATGCAGTTCAAACAGACATGTATTAAATTGTATGTTCCGTTTTAATTTGGTTCAATCTGTATGTGTTCCCAGAGTTATATTGTTTGTTCTTTGATAAATGACTAAGTCATCTGCATATAGGCTAGTAAATACAGGTAGTTGTGTTTGATGTATAATACTATTTATTTTAACTAGAAAGAGAGTAGGACTTAGAGTAGATCCTTGTGGGAGTGCCGTTTTGAAGTACTTGTCTGGAAGATGTAAATCCATTGGTTTTAACTCGAAAAGTTCGTGTTTCTAGAAAATGTTTAATAAAGGACAACGTGTACCCTTGAACATCCCATTCTTGAAGTGTTTTTAGTATAAGATGTCTACATGTTGTGTTAAATGCTTTTTTATGTCAAAAAATACGGCAATAAGTTTTTCGTTGTGCAGAAAGGATCCATGTATACTTGTTTCAAGTGTTATTAGATTGTCTGTTGTGGATCTTCCATCAAAAAGTCTATTTGTTATCTACTTATCACTTTAATTGTTAATTTTAGTGTTGTGTTTAATAAATTAATTCCTGAGTGATTTTGCAGGTCCGATTTGTCTCCGTGTTTGAAGAGAGGTATTAGGATGCCTGATCTCCTATCTTGATGAATTCTGTTTTGTTCTAATACTTTTTGGATTAGTTTTAATAGTTGTTTAATCAAATCTAGTCTTTCGTATTTTAGTCTTCTTCTGGTGTTTTTCTATTTTCTAATTTACTTAATGCATCCTTTACTGCTTCCTCCTTAATACTTATTTCTTCGTTTATCGTCACCCTTGGTGTTTATGGTTTATTATCGTCACCTTTAGCAAATAGCGATCGAAACTTCCCACCCATTTCTACCCATTTTTCTTCTGAATGTATTTCGTTTTTATTAGTTCGTTCATTTCTTTTTTTTTTTGTTCTCTCATCATAATAGTTTGTGATCGGTTTTTGTTTAATGATTCCTTTAAATTCCTTATATTTGGATATTCAAAGCATCTTGTTTTTTCATATTTGTCAAAGATTAGTTCAAATAATTACATATAGTAAAATAAGGTAATAGTTGTCTCATAAAATGCGTTAAACACATCTCGTCTTTATTTCAAGAGAATTGTTCAAGTACCTCTCAGTAACTGTGGCGAATTTCCATCCTACTTGTTGTTTTAATTGAAGGAGCTCTCCTAATCTACTATATCGGATAGTGAAGTACTTCGAAACGTTTGACCTATATATCGATATAATTGTGTTGAATTCAAATATATTGTGGAATTTTTGGAAAGGGATTTATACCAACCACTTGTTCTGCGCGTTTTCTATCTTTACCAGATCGTCAAACAGGCTATAGGAAACTCAGTGGTAAATTCTAATTATGTACTTTAGAAGTAACGAGATACTATTTGTATAGGAATATAATCTGTGTTGAAACAATGTTTAAGTTGTTGTACGAATTATACACATTCTAAAATTTTGCAAAAATTTAATACATTTTCCAGAGTATTGTCAAAGTTAGGCCACACGTAGTGCAGGATGTGTATAACGGGTTGCGTTCTATTACAATGAAGTTCAATATTAAAAATATTTAAATTGCCAATACTTTTAGTTTTATTCTATATCAATATTCTAATAATTCCAAAAATTTTAAAAAGGTTTGAAAATTTTGGACTATGATTCCTAATTGTAATGCACTTTTTTATTATTTACCCCTGCAGTCTAGGCACAATAAATTATTACAACAAAGGGGTTCTCAGAGACCCAGAACAAAAAAAAAATGTTTTATTTTTTGAAATAAAAACTAAGTATGTGGTTTACAAAAATTTAAAAATCGAATATATTAAATAGTTACCGAAACTAGGAAAATGAGAGTCTAAAATATTTTGACTTATATATACTAAATAACGACCCAACAAAATGTTATTTTTCAATAAAATTAAATAAATAATAATGAATGTCTTTCGAGAAGATAAAATTTAATATCATTCAGCCAATAGCAGTAAACAATGGGTACAACGAACAAAGAATAAATAAAATTTTAAACCAAAAACTGCATAATAAAGCCCTGAAATTAGAATAAAATACACGAGAAAAAATCCAATACCTTCTGCTCGATATCATTCATATCATAAATCATACAGGCCAGTTATCACCAAACATAGCCAAACATAAAAAAGAAAGGAATAACACCAGCTTTTAGATCAAACAACTTGTATTAAGAACAGCTTTTACAAATGTATTAAGAACAACAAAAGCCAAAAGGAAAAGCACTTACACAATTGTGTATACAATTGTAACTTGCATATTATGACTGCCCAAAAACTTACATTGGTCAGACTGAGAGAACCTTTAATAAATGTATAGTAGAACATAAGAACATAAAAGAGCTTTCAATCATAGAAAAACAGATTCGACGCACTTCAACTTCTAGATCATAATCTTTTTTTCAATGATCATTTTCAAAGTATCTATATTCAAAATAAATGCCTTAAGCTATCTTTATTAGAATCTATGGAATTTAATAAATTAAATGATACAGATATAATTCGAAATGACTAACTTGGGACAGACAGCTTCTCTTTTGAGATCGGCACTTTTCAGAAACAGCTATAGTGATTATCAATTGTAATTAATTTTGTGGAACTGAAAAAACAAAACTTTTTGGTGTAAATCGTTTTTTTTTACTTTTCTTTGCCTCAAATATAAACAGCCGATTTGAGAAAAAATTTGACAAAATAAAAGGTATTTTAGATATAATGTGCAGAAAAAAATATTTAAAAAACTGAGATAACAGGTATAAGCAGATGTAAATAGTAAATATTACCTCTCCTTGTAAAATAAAAACACTAAAGAACAGTAGTATTACAGAATAATACATTTTTATTAAAACCTACTGAAACACGTCACTATTTGATTTAGGTATTTTGAAAAAAGAAGGAAGGTTTTTATTTATACTACAATTCTCCCTACCTATCGTAAAATGCTTATTAAAGAGAATTCGTACATAATTATTAAGAAAACGCCTTGAAACCTTCTAGCAATCAACCAATCTTCGCTGCGATAATTCTAATGCATTTTTGTGTCATTTCATGCATAGTCTGGTGCATAGATATATTATTAAAGATAAAGATGTCACATTTATGTTAACTCATGTGCACAACACTGTATTTTTGAATAATAGAAATAGAAATAATTGAAAGATATTAGGCTATGGAAGATAACGCTCGATAGTGAAATTATAAAAAAAATAAAGTTAGTTGTGGAAAAATGCTATTGCTAAATATTTTTTTGTCATAAATTTGTTAATTTATTAAGTGTGTTAATTTTTATTTGCTACTTATCTACACTTTATTTTCAAGTTATGATGCTATAAGCGGTGTTTCAGAAATTTTTCAGTATTTAATTAAATATATTTAATTAAATACTTTATTATACAAAAATTGAAGGTAAAGTCATATAAAAATGCGGAAAAGGAAGTGGATTATAAAAGTAGGAACAAAAATAACAGTTACAGCCCTAACTTTTTTTTCTTAATACTGCTTTATATATATATATATATATATATATATATATATATATATATATATAATATATTTCTCGACAAATATATTTCCTTATTAAATACACATTTGTACAATATTTTACCGTCCTACAAAAAAATCGAGATTTTGTTAAATGTACAAATGTAAATTTTATTACCTCATAAACCTGTCAAATTGTTTTTTAAACTACACACCTGCAAATCTGCAAATCTGCAAATTCGTCAGACCATTTTTTATTTACACAATCCCGCAGCTCTAATTTTAGGTGTTAGTAATCTGAGTCAAGTGGTAGTTATTTTGTAGTTAGAAAAATTCGAACCATGCACCTTCTGAAATAAGACGTTTATTGAGAACAAAACCTCTCTCGTATCAACAGCATCTGGTTGTGGGACAATTTTACTTTCATAGATTGTAAATTTTCTTATTGATTATCTTTAGGAACAATTTCAGGACATGACTCATAAGGCTTATTGTACGGTATTCTTCGCATTTTTTGGCTCTTGGTTTTTTTGAAAGTGTAATAAATTTCCGAGTTTAGCCATCTTATTGGTATTTTTTTAGTTGCTAATGTTGTTGAGTATATTTGTGATTATTGCGATTGATTTGATGTCCATTTGTTTTTAGTAGTTCTGGTTGTGTTTAATCGGATCCTGCTACGTTGCAATTCTTTAGCTGTGTGATTGCAGAATAAACTTCCTCTTGTAATATTCTTGGCCAATTTTTACGTCTTCTACTAGCTCAAAGGTATTATCTCTCTACATTCAGTATATACAGTTTCTTTATGGATTTTTTCCACGTTTTTGTCTTAATCTGTTTGTCCAAGGTGGTGTTTTCATCCGAATCAGATTTTTTCTGTCTGTATCTTAGTCAACCTGTGAGTTCTTTAACTTTCCTATGTACATAGCGACTATTGTACTTTCATTTTAGAGTCTAAATTTTTTCGCACTTTTCCATTGCTTTTTTTTGTTCTGCTTCTCTGATTTTCTTTGTTATTGTTATATTTATTATTTTATATATGTCTGGGTTATCTTTGGCTTTTCTTCTTTTGTCCAATAGTTACAGGATGTGATCTATCATCCACGATTTTTTTGGTTAATTTAAGTTCTTTAAGCATTCGTAGTGATAGTGATATTCTTTTCTATACTGAGTCTTCTACGATTTTTTCTAGGTCTTTTTTCACATTTCTGACTACAAATCCATGGGTTTCGATGAGCAGAACTTAATGTCAAGAAATTTTATGTATGATTCTGATAATTTCTTAATAAAACTCAATTGCTTCTTCTTTCTCTTTATCTGGAATGGAAGCATAGACTTGAATACTGTTTATGTTGATCAAGTTGGTTTGTACTTGTAGTATTAATATTCTCTCTTATATTGGTGTAAATTTATCACTTTTTCCTGAGTAGTAGGTATATCTCGTGATCTTTCACATATTTCTCCAGAATCTAGCTATCTTATTTCTGCTATTATTATGATTTCTATATGCATTTCCTTCATCACCTGTTTCGCATTGTATATGGAAGGACTTACTCCGAAGTTTATTTTAGTATTAAGCATTGCCATGATTGATTTACTAGGGCGCATCGCTATGGATCTTTAAAGGGGTGTTTTCCCTTACCGGTGTTTTCTGATGCTTATGTCGTTAACCAAATCCTTGGTTTATATACTTTCGGGGCTGATTTCACAACATTATGCGGCGAATGACTCGCCGCGCTGGAAAAACAGATTGGCGTATGGAGGAAGAAACTTAAAAAAATAGTATGTGAGTATGTAGTTGCGCAAGTTACGCGCTCAAGGTGTAGGTGAGATGTGTTCTAAGAAAGTTAAGTACGTAAGGTTAAGACAAAATGTCGGTTAAGGACAGCGGTCACCTGCTCCAGCTAGTAGTCTTTTACGACAAATAGAAGATCTTCTGAGCGCATTCTTCTGAAGTGTCCCATATTTCTCACAGTACACAGTAACTTTTTTTGGTCTTTCACACTCATGTCGTCATACATTTAGGACTAAAGATATGTTGACTGATCTGATCTGAAAAGATTGTGGACGAAGCTAATGGAGACCAGATCGCTTCTTGGTCTGCCAATACTTCTTCATCCATTTGGTGACTTATCTCGTGCTATTCGTACTATCCTATCCTCCGCCATCCTACTAATATGTTCGTTATACTCCTGTTTCCGTTTTGTCACCCATCCATTTATATTTTGTATATTGCATGCTATTCTTATGTTTTCGCTTCTCTCCTTGTATAAAAGGCTTTTACTTTATATTCGTCGAATTATTTTCATCTCTGTTGTTTCTAGTAGTCGTCTCGTTTTATCTGTGTCAGGTCTTTCTTCGCCATGTATGTTAATATAGGTCTAATTTCTGTTTTATAGACTCTCATTTTTGTGTCTTGTCTTAGGTGCTTGTTCTTCCAGATTGTGTCATTAAGAGATTTTGCCGGTTTACTTGCTTTTAAGCTTTGTTGTCGTACTTCTTCAACATCTCCGTAACTAGTTATATCTATTCCCCGATATCCAAACATTGGTATCTTTGCATCTATTTGATTATGTAAGTAGATGTTTTCGATTGTTTGCATGATATTGATTGGTATATGAATTAAGTGGCCCAGAAGCCGCGTTAATCCTTACAGCCGGTCCCAAGCCCGGATAAAACCGGAGGTTGTATGAGCCAGCTGTAAAAAAGGTTAGGATAGCCTTGATAATTTACAATCTCTGATAGAAGTGACACAAGAAGAAGAAGAAGAAGAAGAAGAGGGAAATTGATCGCGATTTCTAATAAACTACGTTAATTGTAAATCTTGTGTTTACAGGCGTCTAAAAAAGACCAAAATCAACCCATTTAATTGTCGACTTTTTATAATTTGAGCCAAAATCTGTTAAGGTAACGGAACGGAAAATAACAGTGTACCTGCCATATAAAATATTGATGCTAATTTTGTCTAATCTAGACTTAATACATGATAACTAAGGCCACACATCATTCTCATTTCCCAATAATTTCTATAGTAATCCCAGACTGAATTTTTTTAACCTTAACTTTACTTAGCACTTGTAGGATATACATATAAGACTTATTTACACTTTGTCAAAACTAGGAATCACTGAAAATCCTAAAATCGGCATGCCTACTTAATGCGCTGCAAAATTACCACAAATTATCTTGTAAGAGCAGTAAACTCGCCCTGTAAACTACGTTTAAAAATCAAGTAGTCAAGGCCTAACGTTCATCCATCTCTTTCTTTCCGAATGTTTGCTCTGTCTCCTCTCTGCGCAGGTGGGTAAAATTTCGAAAATCATTTCTAGTCTTGACGAGTAATACGATCGTTAAGTAGCCACAAATTCTAAATCAAATCCCAGGCAATCTTTTGGAAGAAAAAGACAAATTATTGCATAGGTATATCCGATATAATGTGTATTAGAGTAAGTACAGACCAAGGAAGTAAGACAAAATATAAATGTTACAATAAAACTCTTGTTATTGTTGTTCGACTGTGGAAAGACATTTTTCATAATTGATTATCATTGTTGACTATTTGTACCTAGACTGTTGTTTGGGATACTAATTGGCTATAATTTACGGTAATTTAAGTTTTTTGATACTAAAGAGAGACGGTGCTATAAATTAATCATATTTCTAAAAACAATTAAAGCTGCTGAAAAAAAGAGTTTCGATAATTTTGTGGATCGCTCCAGTTAATACCATAAATTGTAGTTTTAAATAATAAATTTTTGATATTAATTATTCACATAGGCTGTGTAATTTCGAATTTTGTTTGTAATTTGTTGCCTAATTTATTATATGGATATATTTGCTGGTGATGGTTAATTTTTCCTTTGGTGACTTCCAGTTGTGAATTAATTATGTAAACAAAATTATATATTTATTGGGTTTTATATATTATCTATGTATCCTTTGAATTTATTACCAATATACAGGTATAATTAAAGTTTTTTCATCAATAATTTGAAAATAAACGTTTGAAAGTAGTTTGGTAATATTTTAATTAACGATAATTTTAATATTTACTCACTCACGTGTTGGTGTTCACCGAGGACAGCTTGTTAAGTTTTTAGCTAATACGAAATTCTTTTATCTTTAAAAATGTGACAGCAAAATTACGATAAATTGGCTGGTAACTACAAACTAGGTGAATATTATTTTAAAATTATATTTCACTGTGCCTTCTCTAGACTAAGCAATCATCATTCCTTCTATGTCCAATATTGTAATGTTTGATTATATTAAAGCAATTGGTAGAATTTTTGCTCCCAAAACCCTACATTTCGCATCTAGAATGTCCCATGCTCTATCTGTTTTTACTTGTCTGCTTCATGAAAGTAAACAATCTTCTAAGTTAACTCGTCAAAA